AATTAAATATATTTAGTTTGAGTGACTAATTGGTATATTAACTAATATAGTCATCATTTTGCACCATTGTAAAGTGTGATGAGTAGGTTAGCCACGTAAAATTAAAATTTTAGAACTAATTTGACAGTTTTTAAGTTAAATACATATTATGAACAACCTTAAAAAGGTACAAACACTAAACTTGCAATATGCCCTATATTTTAGAGGTGATGGATCCAAATATTCATCCTTCTTATTTAAATTGAATACTATCCGAAAAAAATGCAATATCGCATACAAATATATTTTTGCTTTAAAAGTGTTGTACTTATTTTATTTTAGTCTATAAATATATCAAACCAACCGGTGTATTCTTAAAAAGATTTTATTTATCAAGTTGAAACAATCAATGAAAAGTCGAATTTATGATTTATAATAGAAATTGTTAATATCTAACTATAGTTGATAAATAAGTCTTCTTACGGAACATATCAAGAGTAAAATTTTTAAAAGTAGAAAATTCAACCGTTGTTGTAACGCTTTGGTTACGATAGTAAAATTTAAATTTTGTCAATATTATCTATAGGTATGGTTCAAAAGTAATTAACATTTTTTTATCCGAGGTTTAAACTTACCCATTTTGTCCTTAAAAACATTTTGCAAATATTATTATTTAAAAAAAAAGAGCAAACTTTTTAAATTTTGATAGCACCTATTTCAAGGAAAATAGTAAATAGGATTAGCTGTCACTTACCAGTTACAATTGCCCGTCCTTACGTGGCACGGTTTGGGATGTGACGCAAAGCAAGCGTGAAAAATAAAAAATTAATTATTAAAGAAACCGAATATTAAAGACCGTTGATTGGGTGAGGTAAAATCGACGGCAGCGCGTGGTTCACGGCGGCCACGCAAACCGACATGTGAGGGAGGGAGTGGATCATACGTGGCAACAACCGCTTTATTCTGGATATATTTATTTATCCTTTTCTAATTTTAAAATTTCAACGGCGAGGCGAATGGGACGAAGCATCTTACCGACAGCGTGACGTGTCTCACTCACTCACGTGGGCCCCGAATTGACGTGGACTCGAAGCAAATGCTTGAGATCGGATTTCATTTACCCTTTTCATTCTCCTTAATTTTTCTTTTTTCTTTTTTTTTGTTATTAATTATTTTGGAGTGCGGGTCAAAATTAGGCTGGTTTTTTCCTCGTCCCAAGAATGCCCCCGATATAATGTGGAAAGACGAATATAGCGCCCCACCTGCCCCTTTTGAGTGGATCGGGACAATTGTGACCCTTGGTTCCAGCTCATACGGAGAAGTGGGAGCTATTATTAACCAACTCTGTCTGCCTCCACGTGTACGTTACAAGTAGAAACCCATGAACTGGAAATTTGTGTACAGTACACGTCAGAGTCCCCTGCATTCACGCCCCTTCAAAGAATTGTTTAATTGCACCCAGCATATTTTTTTTTCTTACTAGGGTAAGAAGTCCAACCATGACTTTTGAGGGGTCATTCTGATTCATACATTTGTTTTGAAAGAGTATGAAGTTATTGGATATCTTACCATAATCCACGTCAAGTTATTAATATATGCTTTTAATCAAGAGGTTGTAAGTTTCAATATTTCTATCCATTTATTAAAAAAAATTAGAAATCATATTTAATTTATTATTTTAAACAATCTTATATTAATGTGAATTAATTTGCCTTCGAAGATAACATATATAAATTAATATATGGAATGAATATAAAAAAAACCAAAATATTATATAAATACGAGATATATTGAACTAAGGTGTAAATTATAATAATATTTGTAAAGATATTTTGACAATATTATATAACTTTAAAATATTGTCAATAATAAATAATGTAAAACAAACATGATTATCTGAATGTTTTCAAATATCTTTATAAATTTTTCTTCAAATCTAGCTATTTATAGATGTGAAAATTTTGTAGATTTTAAACTCCAAGCATCTTAATATCACAGACATTTTGATTCCTGAAAAATAAGAGGCCTACAAATGAGTGTCGATGGGAAATTTCCCCAAACTTTAAGGTTAGTTTATTAACACATTATTAATTAATTTTTTATTTTAATGTTAAAATTAAAAGCCTAGTTATTCGACTTCAACGCCGTGTCTAATAAATTTCAAAAATTTTAAAAATTGTTTAATATGACTTACCAATCTCAACAAACCATTAGATTTTTGTTTTCAAAATTTAGTGCCTTGTTAATTACAAATTTGAAAAATTAGTGATTTAGATATAGGTGTGTGAGTTAAATGACTAAATTTATAGTTTAACTTTAATTTGATAGACAGATATTTACTCCAAATTTGTTACATTATATTCTAAATATAAATAACACATGAAAACAACTCGCTTATGAATCATAACATATTACTTACATCCCTAGTTTTAAAACCAGACATAAATTTAATATTTATTGATAATTTAAATAATATTATGCTGTATCATATGTCTAAATTAAAATTATAGGGATTAAACTAGTTTTTGTGACGGTCGAATTGAGATGAGAGATACATGAATCGATACCACATCCGAATGAGAGAGATCCTGAGACCATGGAATCATAATTAATAAAATGCTAAAAGAATTGATTAGTCTATGGGACTTAAGGAATGATGGAAGGGAATAAAAAAAGGAAAAAAAAAGAGAGGGAAAAATAAGTAAATAAAAATGACGTAGAAGAGCCCARATTCCAAATGAATGAAAACGTGATTGAATTGGTCCCGGTCACTCTTCGGGACAGAATTGAAGAAGGGAGGAGATTCTCGAACGAGGAAAAGGATCAAATTACTTCGAAAGAATTGAACGAGGAACCGTATGAGGTGAAAATCTCATGTASGGTTCTGTCGAGTGGCAGTAAGGGTGACTTATCTGTCAACTTTTCTACTATCACCCCCTATACTAATAATGTACACCTTCCCTTTTTGTTAATTCAATAGTAAGAATTCAAAAGTTAAGCGTGTTTGACTTGGAGCAATCTCTATAATTTTTATACAATTATTAGAATGTTTCAAAAAAATGAGAATAAGAAAAATAACTAGTTACAAGATACTTAAGTTTTTAACAAGGTTGAAACGATAAACAATAAATGAGAATATTATTAAACAAGCTATCAGAGACTAAAATAGAATAATCTTCAAAGTTTAGATGGGTTTAAACCAAGTTAAAGAAATTTGCCCTTTTTTTTTTCCCAAAGGATGCTGGTTTCAATAAGCAGGCCGGGCTTAGTACAACCAGACAGGCCCTAGAAATATGTGCACGTCCAGTGGGTCAGGTATGGTTCGGCCCAACTAAGCTTGTAATGGCCTTAAATCTTCCATGTGGAAGGCCTCGAGCCCCAAATACGTTTTTTTAGTATGGGTCTGGGCCGAAGCCCACACTCATGTCTGTATAGCTATTTTTATAGTGATTTAATTTTTGTACTTGTAAAAAATATAACGATTAAACTAAGATTGAGAATAATATTGCAACCCGAATACTATGGCTGCGTACTTTTAGTTTTGATTCATGTACTTTCAAAACATCAATTTTATTTCCTATACTTTTAATTTTTATTCATATACTTTATAAACGTTCATTTTGATTAATGTACTTTTAAAAATAAACTATTTTGGTCTATGTTTATTAAAAATTTATACATTTCTTTACCCGACGAAAATCCTTCCAAGTTTCATTTCAAAATATTTATTAATTATAATGTCTAGCCATTTTTTTTGACAGCAATTATAATGTCTGGCTAAAATTGACAAAAGAGGCAAATAAATGGACCTAACTGCTCATTTTTCTAAAATAAACAAAAATTGGCATTTCAAAATTACAATAACTAGAATTGACAAAAGCAAAGTATAGAAATTAAAATAGATATTTTGAAACTACAAATATCAAAATTAACAGTTTAAACATTCTCTTAATATTGATTTAAATTTTATACTTAAAAAATAAAATGGTAAATAACTAAAACGTTAAGAATAATTTTGTAACCAAACCATATACTGAGTATATAAATATAATTATGACAAACTTTTGTTTTATTTTATTTTTTTCAATACGATAAATGATTAGGATGAGATATATGAACTTCAAAGGAGAGAAATAATAGCTATCTTTATTAATTTATAATTTTTGAGTATAATAATATATAGGAGTTGGTTTAAACTCACTTGAACGAAGTTATATACTTTATTAAGTTTAAGGTGCAGAACTTTTAATATTAATTACTTGAGTATCAGACACATAGACAAATTTATACCTATAAAATAAAGGTTAAAATGTTATCATGGTCTCTTACTTTTAGCCTCGGTTCATTTTAGTCCATGTACTTTAAAAATGTTCATTTTGGTTCCTATACTTTTAACTTTGGTTCATTTTAGTCCCTGAACTTTGAAAATGTTAATTTTGCTCCATATACTTTTAAAAAGTGATCATTTTAGTCCCTATTCACAAGATTTTAACACAAATTTTACACCAAACGAAAACAATTTAGTATAAAGTAATGTTTACATTATAAGAAATATATTGATTATAATGTGGTGTTGAAATTGTGATTGGAAAAAATGAGATTTAAAATAAAATGAAATGACCAAAATGATCACTGATTAAAAGTACAGGAGCCAAGATGAACATTTTCAAACAAAAATAGAAAGTACAGGAACCAAAATGAATACTTTTATTAAAATAAACCATAGTTCAAAATACAGTGACTAAGCTAGTATTTTAACCTAAGATCAAATAGCTTTATTTCGAGAAACATATAAATTTAAATAGTTAATGCTTAATGGAGAATGAAAATTTATTTTGGAGTATCACTCAAAACCCAATTTCATGGGCGAGTGGGAGAGGTAATTGGGTCCTCAAACGGGGATTTCAGATAGGGAGCCAACCAATCACAACGAAGGACCTCTCCACGTGTCGCAACCTCAGGCCATCCTCCGAAACCGTGATCACGGATAAACGAGCCATTTCTGAGCATAGAAAAAATGGAGAAAAAAAAATCTTCGCAAAAACTAAACCAGCGACTCAAAAAGTCAGCAGCAGCATCAGCAGCTCCTCCACGCCCATTTGATTGAGGATATTTCTCTATTTCCGGCGGTTGAGTAAGCTATCTTCAAAGCAATGGCAGCCACGGCCTCCACCGCAGCGGCCACCGCCGCCCTGAGACCTTGCCTGGCTGCTCCCCAACCCACTCGCCGCCCCGCCATGCCGCTCCTCCCTCCTCGCCTCGCCTCCCCGTCTTTCCCCACTTCCCTCAATTTGTCTTTAGGTAAATTCTCTCGCAGAATCCCTTTATTTTTCTCTGGGCATTTCGTCGAACACCTTAGGGTCGGTCCCTTTTAACTTATGGCTTGCTTTGTTTCTCCGATAGCTGCGTCGTTGGGGTCTTAACTTGTTGAGTTTAGTTGTATGTGTATCATTCAAATCACCTTTATATTGGTTCTGAAGAAAATTTTCCGTCGAACTGAAGTTTAACTATCGAGATAAGGGTCTTTATAATACATTATCTTACAAGCTTGGTAGTCTATAGTCTATACATTCAACCATTCGGACCCGCAGAGGTTGAAGTTTCTTTAAAGATTTGGATTAGAAGACATTTCATTTTGTTCAAGTTCTGTAGTCTGTGACTTAATTTGGAGAGAGTTTCGTTAGTTACTTTAACAGTAGCATATAATATTCCATCATTAGTTTGGTGCCTGATGAAAATGGGCAATTTCTGTTCTTGTTATTGAGCCAGAAATTTATTTATTTTTATTGTCCATTCAATTATAGGAACTTAAATGATACTAGACCGGGTGCATTAAGGGTGTGTTTGAGAGTGATGGTAGCATTAGTGATTTTGAAAAAAGAAATTTAAGTATAATTGATTTTTCAAAATCATCTAGGTAGTACTTTAACCATTAATTTAAAGTGATTTTAAGCTTTACTAAAATCAAATTTTGATTTGCTAAACATGATCCATGAAAAGGGAAGTGACCAAAATCACTCCCAAACAGACACCTTGGTCACCATGCATTATGCACCCAGGTAATTGATAACAACCCATTTTAAAGTCCATTTAAAAATTCTGAAGAAGCTAACAGTCCACTTTAAAGTTTCAATACATGCTTATGCACCATCGGCTAGAACTCCATCCGCTTCCAATGGATGATTGTGTTGTGATATAGCATTGAGAAGGTATAAATATGCTGATTTTTCTGGAGAAACCTTGCGATCTGTGAATATAAAATAAGAGTGTTATGTGCAGATGCATATCTATATATATATACACGCACATATATATCCATTGAACGTCTTATTAGATTTGCGAGAGGGGATATATTCTATTTATGAGAATATTTCAGAGAATTCAAAGCCAATTTATTTATTGGCAGCCAGCCCCATTTCAATAAAAAGATGTTTGGAAATGAGGTCTGGAGTCCAACAAAATGGTTCCCTTGTCCCTTTGATAGTTCATGAATTTCGGTTTAGATAACTTCTCAGTTCTCACTGGGCACGTCAGTTTCTTGATTGAAACTCTTTATAAACTTTATTGGAATTTTCTAACCAACCATTTGGTGACAGAGTTTCGTAGATCTTCTCTGCTTCAAACCCGGGCCTCGTCTTCGGAAGAATCATCTGCTGCTGATGCGTCTGAGCTCTTTACAGACTTGAAAGAAAAGGTAACCACAGGAAGCATAATAATGCCCATTATTGTCATAGTTCTGAGAAAGCTGTTGAGTTTTTTTTCCTGAAAATTATTTTTTTCTGTTAATTATATTGATTCTGAGATGACTAAGAAATAATGTTATCCTACTGTTTATTAGTGGGATGCCCTTGAGAACAAATCCACAGTACTTCTCTATGGAGGCGGGGCGATAGTTGCTGTTTGGCTATCCTCAATTCTTGTTGGTGCAATCAACTCAGTGCCATTGGTATGTGATTCCTTCAGACTCATGCTTCTGTAATCTTATTGCTGTATGAATGGGTTTTTGATGCAATTATGGCTGAATTAGTTCAACAGGTGAGTTTTGGGGTGCCATTTGAAAAAATGGAAGCATTCCTTTTGAAAGCACGTCGAGTGATTTTTATGTGCTTTTAGAATTCCTCAAGCTATTTTTGGTTATAAAAATTTTCAAAAAGTGGTTTTGATCGGTTAAGAGCAATTTTATAATAAGCACTTGTAGTTCTCCATAAGTACTTTAAAAAACATGACAAATTCACGCTTCTCACAAACTGGAATCGTTGTTGCTAGTTAACAATTTCTCGTATTATCAATTTGATTCTTCCCCTAATAAAGCCGTTTTGACACTTTTCATCCATCTTATCAGCTGCCAAAGATCCTGGAGTTGGTAGGACTTGGATATACAGGGTGGTTTGTGTACCGATATCTACTCTTCAAGGTTAGTCGAAAACTAAGATTGGTTTCAAACAAGGTCTGAAACTTGTGATGCATACTCTGAGAAGTTAAAAGGATTAGACCCTCTTTTCTTTATGGATTATCTGTTTAGTTTCTTAGATTCATTCGGGATCCGAAAAATTCAAATTTTAGGTACATGTTTCTAACATTATGATCCGAAACATAATCAAATGAAAATGGTGAATAGAATCTCGAGTTCTAAAAACCAAATATATCATAATTACAGGATGGATCTGAAACAAGATATTAACTTGAAGAATGTTTTTTTGTATGCAGTCAAGCAGAAAGGAACTAGCTGATGACATTGAAGCATTGAAGAAGAAGATTGCTGGGACCGAATAAGAATGTGTGTTATCGGTCGCCATATTCAACATGCTTAGTTCCTCTTATTATCATTTTGTATTCTATTCTCCTACCCTTATGAGAGGCAATCTAAATCATGTAATGTGGAATAGGTCTTGCTTTAAATCTTTGTAACTTGTGTACCTTTTCATTGTATGTGTAATAAGATTTGTCAAGTTCTTTAGATGGAAACCCCTTTCTCAAGTTTCCTTTCTTGCTTCAAAAAAAAAAAAAAAGTTCAAATTCATTAATTAATTAATTCATTAATGTTGGTAACCATTCTTCCCAAATCATATAGAAAGAACATTTTAGGATGATTACAATTTTAGGTTTAGATTTATATCTGAACTTGTTATATTATTTAATTTTGGTATTTAAAATTTCAGTGTGTTGGTTTTAATATTTGAATTTTTCATAAAAAAACATTATAGTATATTTTTATTGAATTGTTTAATAAGATTCAACTTTAGCATATATTTTGTTTATATACTTGGTTTTTTTATTTGGACAATTAAGATTTTTTTTTTTAAGGAAAATTTGGACAATTAAGTTGAACTTGGTTGTTTGAGCCGTTGTTCAACTAAAATCTTATTCTTAATTATTGAAAATGTGATTTTATACAGTTCACTCTAATGTCATATTTATATTAGTATTTTATGGGAAGGACAACGTATACCTTTAACGGCTAAAATTTAGATTTTAAAAATAGAGAATTAAAATAGCCATACAAAAAAAAAAATCATAACAAAACAAATATAACAATTATATAATAAAAATTGAACATCTAATATCAGCAGCTGGTTTGCCCGAGAGGTTAAGGGGGAAGACTTAAGATCTTCTGCACATAAGTGCGCATGGGTTCGAACCCCATAGCCAGCATTTTTTAAATTATATTTTAACAAATTCTTCTTTTTTGCATTTTTTTGGTCGATTTTGGAATAAACCCATTACTGTAGTTGAAGAAAAACCCTAGAGGAAACTTTGAGATTTGATGCAGAAGCTGTGGAAGAAGGGGATTCAGTTGGTGAGAGATGATCCGGTTGACGAAATTGAAATCTGTGGCGGAATTTGCAGATTCCGGCCGCCATCAATTGATTCAAAGATGCTGGGTGAGCGGCACGGCGAAGGGCAAAGCGAAGATCAAAGGCGGGCAGCAGCTGAAGCGCTCCAAAATCACAATCAAGAAGGGCGGCGCCGCCCCTTCGAAAGGAGGAGGAGGAAGAAAAATGCCTCCAGAACAGGAGAAGCTCTACGATCAATGCCTAAATGCTCCTACGCCTCTGCGATTCTTGAAGCCCAAGGATAGAGAACGCGAGGCGGAGCGGGAGAAGCTCGGGCTTATCAGCAAAGACCGTCAACGCGAGATTGAGATGATGAAGATGGATAAATCCAAATTAGGGATTTCGGATTCTCCATCCATACTAGGAACTGTTGGTTTGGATCTCATTTCACTGGGCGTAGTCGATGCAGATAAGATTCCCAAGTACGAGTTGACGGTGGAAGATGGGCGGCGGCTTGCCAAGGAATATAGTCGGGTGTTGATGAGGCGCCACCGGGCAAGGCAGGCGGCTGAATCGACGCTGTTGCAGATGAAGAAAGATGCCATTGAAGCATTGCCAGAGCATTTGAAAGCTGCTGCTATGGTGCCGGATTTGACTCCATTCCCACCCAACCGGTTCATGGCGACTTTGACGCCTCCAATCGAAGGCTATATTGAAAAGGTCAAGGAAGCCGCGAGGAGGAGTAGCGGGAAAGAGAAGCTTAGATGATCAGAGAGGTCAGATTTTTCTTTTGATTACGTTCTAATTTCCTAAACGGATCGAGTAGAGTGGCCTTTTGGTGATATGTTCAATTCTATGAACTTCAACTTCAAATTCGTAATCAAATCTAAGCATATATTGAATCAAAATCTGATTGGTAGAGTTAAGAACTTATCTGGCCTCACTGATGAGCTAGCTAGAAAAAGAATAGCGACATTTTCCCCCTACTTTCAGCGCAGTATGCATTATGTTGTCTCAAACTTTCATAAATTTTCTTGTTTTGATACCCTTTTTAAGGCGTGGCATTCCCTTATCGAATTAATTCATCAAGCCTTAGCTTGTTCAAGAAATAATTTCCAGGTTTTATCTTCTACCTTCTCAATTGGAGTCATCGGTGACTTTCAAGTCCCTCAAGTTTATCTTCTTAGGGAAATCTTATGTGCAATTTCCTTTTATTATGGGATCTGTGCCATCACCGGACTTGGAAATTGATCTTTTAGATAAATTCAATCCTGTTCTCCCAAGAATCCACTGTTAAGAACTCAAAGACACGTTCTATGAATTCCACTGCAGTTTATAATTCAGTATAATCCCAATTACTGACCCAATATCTCTGATTATGTTGGTTTGATTTGGTTGATATCTGAAAGCCACTAGGATAGCAAGCACTTTTCATAGGCTAAGAGCTTGAAGTTCTCCATGATCAAATTGGATTCACACCTACAGGAGCTATACAATTTGGCCTTTACTATCACTAGATGAAGATTTCCCCTGGATGGCCAAAAGTCAAAAACTAAGAAAAATATGCCCGGATTTTTACAGTATTGTTCATAAAAAGGCAATATGATTTATGAAGTATTGTAGTTGTCTGTTGGAATCACCAAGGGTAGAAACATTTATACTGATGAATTGGTAGATGTGCGTTGCGCTTAGCATTTTCTGGATTTCACGGTTCTCCAATAACCTTTCTATTTCTTCTAATCAGGATCCTACGAGTTTCCTTACAACTAAATATAGTAAGTTCAGATAGTTGTCTCGTGAGGCTTTACAATATTTACTCATAAGAGTTCGGTTCGATAACCAATGAGACATGTGGTAGCATCCCACTTTGGTTTTAATAATCTATTTCAGTCTTGTTGCATCACATTGATTATTTCTCTTGTTTTTTTTTTTGTTTGATTAGATTTCAAATGCGGCAGTAGATGAAGCTACCTACATAAACTTCAGACTAAAAAAGGGCAAGCGCATGGTTGCAAGAGAGAGCCACGAAGCATTAAATCTTCTGAATTTTTTACTTGTGTAACCTGAAGACTCTTTTAATTAAATTCCAGGAGCCAGATGCCTCTTCTTATTCCTCTTTTTTCTTCTCTTTTCTTTCTTTTTTTTTTTTGGCTTTTTGTTTTTGGATCGGTTTCAATGGCTTTGTGATATTCTTTCTGAATTCACAGGTTTCTTTTGCCAAATTGGCACTCTGTTTTCCCCCATGCCTGTTGAAGGAATCGATCTTCTTAAAGAAAATCTCCCAAATCATGCTCTGATTCAACTGAATGGACTGTGTAAAGTTGAACATTTTGTTCTATTAAATCATTTGCCCCCGTGAAAATAAATGTTCGGAAAAAAAAAATTCTAATGTTAGAATTTGGCAAGATCAATTCATTTTCGCTAACTATGAAAATAAATTAAGCTTTTAATTGGACCAGTGTTGCAATCTTACTTTGGTGCATTCACTTATCAATTTTAATGTAAAATACCTTAAAATTTTATAAGTTATGACATAAATATAGTTTTCTTTTTTAAAGTTAAAAATTAATATACAAGATAGATTATTGATAAATCCATCGAAGTGATAAAATTTATAGAAGTTGAATAATTATCATGAGTGTAATGCAGTTTATAGATATGTCACGTGATCTAAAATATCGCATTTCCAAAACTATTGGATTTAAAAAAAAATACTATGGAAATATATAATATTAATTAAAAAAAGTATTTGTATTATGGTAGATTAGAATAAGAAATTTCTCTAGGGTTTGGAAATGCATGTTAGCGTTGGTGTCACGTAGGAATAATTTCTGATAGTGAAAAAGCATCATATGCCATAAGCTTTCATTGAACTTGGATGATTTTTTTTAGTAGGAATGGGGGATCCGATACTATTTATAATGAAACCGATACATTTCCAATTGCTAATCAAACATACTCACATGTAAAATGTTACATGCATAGTAAATTATTAGGATATTAGCTATTCCTAATTTATATGAATATAGAATCTAATTTAAAATAAATATTGAATATTGAAATTATTCTATAATAGAACATAAGAATTAATATGACGAATAATATAATATAGAGATTGAAATTTTTGATCTATTTATCAAATAGATGTGTATCAATAATTAATATATTAATCTCAATTAGATAGTAAATTTTAGTTTCATTTGAACCTCTAAGACTATTTTAGTAGTATCCTTTTAAAAAGTGACTATATTAGTTCCTATTTAAATTTTTTTAACACAATAACACGAAATCCTTTAAGACAAAACTATTCCAATAAATTTATTGAATATAGGATCGTATTGAAATTAAATCCAAAATAAGAAAAAAATAAAATGAACAAAACGATCACTTTTTGTACATTAATGCCCAAAGGAATAAAAACTGAGAGTACATCAACCAAAATAATATTTGAACCAAAAAAAAAAAAAAAATCCTTTATTAGCCTACTTATCCAGTATTCTTCTGGAAACGGATTTCACTTGTCAGAAACAAAATCTCTATAGCCCACCTAGCCAGTATTCTGCTAGAAACAGTTTTTAGAAACAGCTCCTGAAATGAACATGCCATAGTCCATAGTCATAACCCAACCTTGAGAAGCAGGAAAGTCAAATTTCTAACACTACCAAATGCATTTCAAGTTACAAATGTTGATGTTAAATAGTATGGAGAGGGAATTAGTATAATCTCCTTGAGATCCAACAGAGTATTAGTAATATAAATGCCTTTACTATTACATCGTCCTCTTCGAGTCGAGGGAGAGGATGTCAAAAGGGTAAACGAGGAAAAAGAAAAAAAAGACATACAAAAATTAGATGGTTAGACAACCTAGAACACCAGAGAGATTTGATAATTACCTTACGATACTTTAGATACAGAACATAATGTGGTGGGTCAGTGCTGCCTGATGGTAAGTTCAGCTCTAAGATGGAGGACTCCATTTATAAAGTAGAGACTATCTTCGGCCATGAAAGAAGTCCAAGGTATTGCAAATAAGTTTCTATAGCCAACTGCCTTGCCTCCTGTGAACGTGTAGTTGCCCTTATATTTGCTTACGAACTCCTCGGTTGGCTTTGATCTTGCGGCAAATTCATAGTCAACTGCAAAAGAAACTGATCCTTTCTCCTGCATTCCCAAGAAAAGCCCGAAGCAATGGAACGAGCTCTGCTGGTCCATGTTGCAATGAGCTGAAAGGAAAAATCCTTGTCCGCCCAAGTGGAATGCCTGAGAATATACTCGCCCTGATGGAAACAAATTTGCACATTCTTCCCGCTTGAGGTCGAGGTACACCACACACTGCTGCCGAGGACGATCAAACTCAACTATCTTGACTGGACGATACTTGTAGGCTCTCTCGATAAAGCGGCGGTTTGAGGAAGCCGACTCATCTGCAGCTAGGATTCTCTGCCTGTGAGGAGCCTCTGCCTTGAAGAAAAGGGCCTCAAGCACAAGTTTGCAAGCAACATCATGGTCAAAGTCATTGCAGGTCAGAACTTTCTTAAGCTTACGACAAGTCATAAAGGGGAATCGAATATAACGTGCAAGTCGAGCCCCCAGCACTTCTCGCCTCTCCTCCAGCTTTGGGTATTGAGTTCTAGCCCACTTCAAGATGAAGTCGTATACTGCATCCTCTGATGCAACCTGTAGATCATCACTAGACAATATTGCCTCCACTCCTGCAAGAGGCAAAGCCATTACCTCTTCCTGGAACCTGGTAAATGCAAGCAGCCTAGTTGAGAAATAGCCTCCCTCCCAGAACAGACATGATAAACGATTATAGCAAACGATAGTGGAGGAAACAATTATATTTAAAGTTCACCATCAGAAACATAGTCTAAAAGTTGTCTCTTATCTAAATGTTCAACTCGCTGGTTCCCGGAAAACCAATCAAATAAACTTTTTCACCAAATTTCTTAACTTAACTAAATGTTTCAGTTCATGATATTTCGTCAAGATGCAATGCATGAATTTCCAACGTGCACTTCCAGAAATTCAATCCTGTATCTGTGCAAGTGTAGGGAGACACATAATTCACAATGCAAGATTGAGTGAGTCTGAGAAAATTTTCTTACAAAATTAAGACTAACTTCTTAGTGATGTGGAAGGTGGAATCACAAATCTCAAAGGAATATAAAAGATCCAAAAAAAGAGGGCATGCTCAAACTTCCAAACACAGGGATAAAGCAGAAATAATTGGAACAATGAGCTCTATTCATCAAACTTCGTTAAAACAAAAGCTGGAGATGA